CCGCGGTCCGAGGTCGGGGCGGGGAAGGAGCCGGTCCCTCGTCCTGGCGCTTTGTGCACCGCGCAGGCCCCGGGGTGCGGCGGCCAGGGAGATCCTGGAGGTCTTTGCCTGTCCCGCTTAGGAAGTGTTTCTGCTGGGCCTTAATGGGCAACGTAAAGCCTTCCCTAGAGATGTAGGTGGTGCCAGCGGGATGGGTTTTGATGGTCTGAGTTAATTACTTCTTGTTCTATCAATGGCAGGTTGTAATAGTTACGCTCTTGGGCAGTGTGCTCTGTTTCGTGGTTGATGATTTACCTGTGGAGTGGGTTAGGAACACGAGAGGCGAATGCCTCGAGAGCGAGAGCTTGAAGGTGATGCCAGGCACTACGTAAGGGTTGTGTGTCTGATGTCAATAGAATGTTACAGAAATTAAAAAAAAAAAAACAAAAACAAAAAACCTGTAGGGGTTACAATTCTAGGTCCGTAAATGTGGGGACGATAAGCAGAAAACGCTTGAACTGCTTGTCACTCCTGTGTTAATGCTAACCTCATTTTGGAAAACTTCGTAGTTAGCAAAGCTTTTTGTAATACCAAATCTGTGGAATAAAGAACACATATTCTTCAGTTAATTTTTGGCCCCAGGCCTTAAATGCCGTGGAGATAAGACTCACAGAACATCGGGTTCAAAATGCTGATTAATGTTTCAGACTTAGGGTCAGATTTGTTTATCTGCTGTTCTGAGGTGTGTTACATAGTTGTGTGTCAGTCAGGCTGCCGGTTGCTGCAGGCTGTTACGCCCAGGCATGTTGCGTATCTGTAGTCTGACCCAGAGCCTGACAGATCTGAATAACAGAGGCCAGCTCGATGGTCTGTAGCTAATTGGAGATAATATGGGTACGGTGAGGAGACGGCGGTGTGTCTCAATTTGAAAAACCGCTCTCATCTGCCTCTGCTGCCTGAGTTTGTGGATTGTGGTTCACATGACCAGGAAGGTAGTCAGCTTTCCAAGTGTCGCTTTTTGGGGAAAATGTCCACATCTGTGTGTTTTTTTTTTCTTTTTTTTGTTTTTTCAACACAAAATAGTTAAACTGTGCTTATGGCAACCGAAAAAATACTGACATACGCAACTCTTTCTGTCTTCTTCCTGCCAGGCAGAAGTAGGCATGCCTGTTCAGGAGCGGAGGCAGTCCTGACCCTGGAGGGTGGGGATCCCAGTGCCACCATGGCACGTGATACAATGACACGTAATACGTTAGCCAGGGCTCGGGAAGGATCTTCCCATCATCTTCTCTCCTCCTCGTGTTGGGTAGTTGGTGCGTGGAGGATGTTCATGTCTTAGATTCTGTTTACGCCTCAAAGCTCGCTCTTGGCGACTGTAGCAGAGCCTGCAGCTCTAGGTAATGTGTAATCAGTAATTCGTCTTATATGAGGAGATGATTTATTCCTGGAGGTATAAGTAAAGATGTCTGCTTTGTTCTGATTTTTCCTGGCCCCCATTATATTTGGAGTCTCTCCAGAGAGCTTATCTTTTTATCTAGGTGCAATTCTATTTGTAATATCAAGCTCCATGTGGCAGAGCTAACACGTCTACAGTGATAATGCCAACATTCATGTGAACGTATTTTCAGCATCCTGGGGGGGGGATCTGCCTATATTGGATTTTGATTCTTAGTGATTTCTGGTACACTTGTTGGGTCTAGGTGGCATGTTTAAGAAATCTTGCAGAGGAATGTGCATAATAGTTAATTTCTTTGGAGGAAATAAGAGCTGCCCTTTCAGTTCCTCCTTCTATACACATCACAAACAGGAGAATTTTTCTTTAGACTTGATGAAGCATTTCAGTTCTGTAACCCAAGGGGAAAAAAGTGGAGTAGATGAAATATCTTCTGAAAGTAACTACTTAAGTGCATTATTTTCTGTAGATCTTGCATTAGCCTTGGTGTAAATGGATCACAGTTACGTAGAGTGGTTCCTTATTGGGATGGGCAAAGCTGCTGTGGGAATTTTATCTCGCCTGCCCTTCCAACTTAGGGATGCTCACAGGCAGGCGTGGTGTATTTTGGAGGTGATGTGGGGCTTGTTCCTTCCTGCTGTCTAGAACTCCTTTAAGAGAAGCCCTAAACGCTCGGTTGTTTTCATACTTGGTAACCACATCTTTTAAGCGATATCTGTGGACTTGTGTCTGCCTGTTCTTGTCCTTTCGGTGTGTGAAACCCATGGAGGTGGTGTCTGAAATCCTGCAAAAAAACCCCAACAACCAAGCAACAAACTTGGCAGCTGAAGTAGTTTCCTTGACACTTCTTTTGACCTGGCTGGATTTTGTTACACTGAATATGATGAGGAGTATGTTCTAGGCTAATGCTTGTCTTTAATGGCAGGTACTGTGGCTTGTCTGAATTCTTTACAGGTGTATCAAAGCTTGAGGTGTTTTAAGCTGACTTGGGAGCCTTAAATGCAGGATTGCAAAAGACGTCTGCATCATACTGCATTACTTCGAAGCATGTTACGCAGCAGTTCAACCCAGGGCGAGTGTAAATAGTTCCAGTTTGAGGAATAACCATAAAAAAACCTGGGTGTAGCTTTTAACACAAGCACTAAACTTTGTGTTATTTCTTCAGCCAAACAGAAGTTAAGGTGTTAGAAGGATTGTTCTATTTTGAATCTATTTTTGGGTTTTTAATTACTTCATTACTCAAGAAGCTTTAAAAAAGTTCAGTGAGGGAAGTCTAAAAATTT